GCCGTGGGGGGGGGGGGAGGGAATGGACCGTTGTTGTGTGTGTGTGTTTTTAAAAAAAACAAGGCATTTGAAACAAACATTCAGATCTGTTAAGAGGGTGGGAAGGTACCTCTGTTTGCTTAAGGCAGGGAATGGTCGGAACTCACCACAAGCCAAACAGATATATATATTTTTATTTATTTCTGTATATATATCTCGGTGGAGATGATTGCATCAGGTTGCTGGAACACACACACACAGACATATATACACACACATACAGATATACAGATATATATATATATATATCTGTATATCTGTATGTTATTTCTGTATATATATCTCGGTGGAGATGATTGCATCAGGTTGCTGGAACACATCTAGATGTTGGATGTAAGATGCAGAATTTGGAAGGTTTTGCTTTCAAGTCGTTACCCCTCTAGTTCAAAGCCCCACCCGTTCGCCATCTTTGTAACTACAATTTAAACTGTCGTACTTAATTCTCCCTGTTCTCCAAAGTAATTGGAATATTGCTTTGTTGCTTTGAAAAATCTGAATGCTACAAGGCCTCATAGTGCCTAAAACTCTCTCTGGACAGATTACAATATAATTATACAGGCTACCCATTAAACTATAGTAAAATACTGAATAGTCTTCCAAACCTGCAAGGGGGTACGTGCCACTGGGTCGGGGATCACTGTTCTAAAGGCACATGGCACAAAGGCATAATTTGGCTGCTGTTATCTGGTGGAAGGCTACCCAGGAACCCTAACCCTATGCTACCTTCAGCCCCATGGTGGGAAGAAAAATGGCCACTAAAGATAATCCATTGATGTCTGTCCCTCACAAAGTACTGAATACAGAGTGGCATGAATCACCAAGCTGACCCAGAAAGGCCATTTTTATTATCATTTATGAGCTGCTACTCTGCAAATAAAAACTGCAATGAGTTTGCCAAAGAAAGAAATAAAACGCTATTCCACTGCCAGAACTGACTGCAAGTACTGTAACTGTTTATAGCCGTGCAGCTTTTCCTCGAGAAAAGCGTTAAGATTTTTCCTAGTTCAAAACATAGACTTGGGATTCTGAAGACATGACGTAGATCAGCGAGTCCCAAACTCGGTGTTATGGTGGGTGCCACCAAACGTAGCCAGGGGTGTCACGGAATCTGCAGAAGTACTACAGTACTCAGGTCGGGCTCCCCCCTCGCACACGGTGTCCTATCAGGGGAGACACAGACACTGCTCAGCAAGTCAAGGAAGCCGTGACTAAAAACAATTCGGGAACCACAGATATAAATCGTTTATATTTATATCTGTGCCATTTACTTCTGAACTGGCATTCCCACATGGGTGCACAAGGAATAAAAAGAGAGAGAGCTATTGAGCCCGAAATGTTACATCAGATTCAGCCTATTTATGACAAATATTATTTTAATTTTATTTCATAATTCATGCTCTTCCTTTGATATTCTGCCCCCCAGCCCATAAAAACTCCCGGTGCAACTTGCAAGGACTGGGGGCTTCTGGCTCCTTCATGCTCTGATTCTCCCCCCGCTTGGAACACGATGCTCATAAAACGTGGAAGAAAAGATCTGGGATTATTGAAGGCTACTTTGCACATTACAGCTTCTGGTGTGAAAGGATGGCATGCGCCCAAAGAACTCAGTGATTTATTTAGGTCTCTGGCTGTGGAGCCAGAAGGGGTTGGGAGTTCGATTCCCCCCCTCCCCACGGGGGCCTCCTGGACAGAGACTAGACTCGCGGATCCATAGGATCCCTTCCAGCGCCGCGGTTCTGAGATGATGATGAATAAAGAGGGCTCTCTTCATGTGCCCACACAACTGAAGTACCAGTAAAACAACTGAAATACTGTTATGGCTGCCAAATAACCCTCTTATACTTAAGCTGATACTTAGGTCAATAGCTACGGATGGTCTCAGGGTACTGGTTGAAGTTTCAGGAAACTACTATAGTTCCTTTGGAGAAATTTTTGTTTTATTATGTGCAATGTATTTTAGAACTGGCTTTCCATCTCCTCTCCGCCCACCCCTGGCTCAACAGAATGGTTTTACTGTTGGGAACATAATATATGTTTAGGAAGTAGTGCAGGAAACCCCCATTTTCTGTCTTACTCTCTTGGGGGGCCCCCTATTGTGGTCTCAGGGTACTGGTTGAAGTTTCAGGAAACTACTATAGTTCCTTTGGAGAAATTTTTGTTTTATTATGTGCAATGTATTTTAGAACTGGCTTTCCATCTCCTCTCCGCCCACCCCTGGCTAAACAGAATGGTTTTACTGTTGGGAACATAATACTGTATATGTTTAGGAAGTAGTGCAGGAAACCCCTATTTTCTGTCTTCCTCTCTCGCCCCCCCCCCTATTATTTTGTCATTGTTGCTTAACATTAGAAATATTCACCCCTGGCCCCTGGTTTTGGCCCTGACATCCTAGGGGATGAGGAACTGCTAGTCTGAAAACGGACTGCTAGATGCATCCTCAGGTAGGAGCTCACAGTTAAGGAATCTGGAATTAGGAAATGTGAAATTCTCTGGGTAAACTCGTACATCACAGACGGCTGACTCTTTCTTTGTTGTCTAGAGAAATCAGACTAAATAAAAGAGGAGCAAGAGTATGAATTCGGGACCAGTCGCAAAGCAAAGCGAGCCCATTTACAAATTGCAGTGCACGAGAAGAGCTCCTGGCGAGACAAGCAGAGATCATCACCTCTTAAGGCATCCCTTCTTCCACTGGTTCCCTCGAGTGTTTCTAAAGGGGACGGTGGTTAGGCTGTGAAAGCTGGCCCCCGTTCAGAGGAAACAGCGGACGTAAGAAGAGCGTGTGCATGCTTGTCTGCTTAGGACTTGAAGATAAAACCAAGAAGGAGCAACACAGAAAAGGTTGCTTTAATGGCAGCACACACACACCCTTAAAGAGCGAGCCCATTTACAAATTGCAGTGCACGAGAAGAGCTCCTGGCGAGACAAGCAGAGATCATCACCTCTTAAGGCATCCCTTCTTCCACTGGTTCCCTCGAGTGTTTCTAAAGGGGACGGTGGTTAGGCTGTGAAAGCTGGCCCCCGTTCAGAGGAAACAGCGGACGTAAGAAGAGCGTGTGCGTGTTTGTCTGCTTAGGACTTGAAGAGAGCAACACAGAAAAGGTTGCTTTAACGGCAGCACACACACACCCTTAAAGCGACCCGTGCATCACGCCAGTCCATGCTCACAGGTAGAACCACCACCACCCCTTTTGGTCCAGCTTGGGGATGGACTGGGGTCAGGGTGGAGCGCATGCATCCTCATGCATCCCGTGATCGCTGGGGAGAAAAGTTTCACCCGACGAGTGGCCCAGATTGCAATTGATTTCTTCACGGGGTCACACCCGAAGCGGAAGGTGAGAAACCATTCAGGGTGCTAAACATCACTGAGGATCCAGTGCAGGTCAACAAACCTGCTGCCGGAGAGAAATATGTGTGGATCATCGGGAAATAGGTGTGGGTCGTCGGGAAATAGGTGTGGGTCGTCGTTCTGTGTTGCCCCTCCAGCAGGGACTTGGGAGCAGGTTCCATTCCTCCGTCCCAAGGCAGAGTCACCCCTTTCGAAAGGGGCAGGATTCCACCTCAGGCAGCATCCGAAGACTCTTGC